AGGGCCAGGAAGAGAAAGCAAGTGGCAGGGTGGCTTCACATTTTGGTCTGTGGCTCACGGCCTTATTAAAAAAACAATTCTCTTAGAGTCTTGTAAGGAGAAGGGACTCAGGTAATCTGTATTAGTTTTCTATTGCTGCACAGCAAATTACCACAAACTTAAAACAATATCCATTTATCATCTCAGTTTCTATAGGTCAGAAATCTGGGCAGAGTCAAGCTATGGTCTCTGCCCAGGGTCTCATAGGGATAATCGAGGTGTCGGTAGGCCTATATTCCCATTTGGAGCTTGGGATCCCCTTTGAGGCTCATGTAGTTGTTGGCAGAATTCGGTTACTTGTAGTTGTATGAGACCCCTGTGTTATTGCTGGCTGTTGGCAGAGGGTCTTTCTGAGCTTCTGGACGCTGTCTTCTCCCTACATGGCAGCTCTTGTCTTCAAGGACAGCAGAAGAATTGGTCTCCAGCCACTTTGACAGTCTTCTATGTCACAACAGAGTCACTGGAGTGACTGTCCCGTCACCCTCATAACCTACTCAAAGGAGTGATAGCCTATGAACTCACAGGTTCCACCTATGTTCAAGTGGAGGGATTTTATATTAGGTGGTGGGAATCTTGGGGTCCATCTTTGAATTCTGCCTTCCACAGGATCTCCCCTAAAAGTTAGAATTCACCTAAAGTGACAACCATCAAGCATTTAAAGCAACTTAAAAAAATGTGCAACTCTGCATTTTCCAAACTGGTGCACCAGCTTCTGCAGAACTCGAATAGATATCCTTCTACAAGAAGCATCTGTGGTCAAATAAGTTTTTGAAAATGTGGGTATAATAATGTTTAACATGTTTCTTTATTGAGCACAGTGTGGGGTTTCCCCCCATCATATTTAACCCAGGAAATAGATTTTTGGGTTTGTGCTAAATAAATCCACCACTTTATGAATGTTACTGTAATATTAATGTTACACTGAAGGAGCTGTATTACTACTCTTGCACTGTCATTTTATTTCCTCTATGATGCTTTTGTTGATCCTTTGTCTACAAGATCCCCACCTCCCTGAATTTTGGTAGCACTAATGGTCTACCTCACTTGATTGGCAGTTTGCTTATAATTGACTAGAGGCACGGTGCATGACATTTATACACTGGGGGAGGGGTCTCCTCAGCCCAGCCTGTACCTTTTCTGGGAGCTCTTGGGGGATGTCCGACTATAGGACATCTTTAGCGCTGCTACGGAGGTGGGTTGCTGTGCTCACCAGCCATCATCCCAGCTTGTGGTTGAGTGGGGCTCCCCCTTTGGAAGTGCACTGACTACCAGGGGGCAGCTCCGGCATTGAGCATCTGCCCCTTGGTGGTCAGTGCGTGTCATAGTGACCAGTCATTCAGCTGTTTGGTCAATTTGCATATTACCCTTTTATTATATAGGATAAGTATAAAATACTTTTCTTTTTGGATGAAATTTAATCCAAATTTTACTAAATTTAATCTCTTTGAAGGCTGGCACTCTGGCTTAAAGCAGCAATGTAGAGCACCGCACACAGCTGTGTAGTGGTGCAGTGTGTTGGCTGAGATATCTGGGAATCAGAGTTATCCTGGGGCATTTTGTCAGCTTTGGAACTAAGAAGTAAACCAATTTCTCTCTCTGAAGCTCTCCTAGGTCATCTTTAAATTGAGAACGCTATGAGAGATGGTTTCTAAGGGCTTTTCCCAGCTAATATTTAATATATGCCTATCCTCAAGCCCTGCCCCATCTCATAGGTGTTTGTTTTTACAGTGCCTGTTAAGCACTTGATGAATATTTGTTCACCGATTAACTGTGAGCTTGCATTGTTGTGGGTTCCAGTATTTTATCAGTTCTCCCCTGTGTTCCAGGAGGTTTCTAGCTTCCAGCTGGTCAGGGTGCACAACCTCAGTTTTTGGCACCAGCTTATACAACCTCAGACCCTAACTGACCACTGATTTTGGTTTGGCCTTGTCTCATGCTTCTGCAAAGTTAGAGGTCACCTCCATCAGCAGGATTGGAGGCACCCCTAGCAGGTCCTCCTGCCTTAAAATATCTTCCTTTTCTAATGCTTGAAACTCCTATTAAAGATTCATCCTCTACCATTTTATTTCAGAGCCTTATTATAAGTCTAAGTAAAAAATTATATGAATAATTATTTAATAACGCATCCTCTAGAAAGTAAGTCACCTTGTATAGGCATGACATGTGAGCAAGAAATAAATCTCACTAAGATTTTGAAGATGTGTGTTACTGCAGCATAACACAACTTGCTTTGGTGTAGACATGTTCGGAGAAAATAACACAAGTTTGATATTTGACTACCAAGGAATTTTGTGCTTCTGGAGATATTAGGTGGTAACACCTAAATTCTCGCTGCCCAAAGTGCAGCAGAATCACCTGGTCTTTGAACCATATTATTCTTGGGCCTCACCAGGGACCTGCTGATCTAGACCCTGAACTTTAACAAGATCTGCAGGTGATGAAGTGAAGATTAGAGCCTGAGAAGCAATGCTCAAGAGGTAGCTGGACATGACAGTTGGAAACATCTGAAATCAATGTGAGCTACAGGCATAACTGTGAGAGCCACAGGTTCTGAAAATGTGGTCCCTGGACCAGCAGCGTCACCATCAGGTGGGAACTTCCAAGATGCAGATTCTCAGGCCGCAGCCAGGTCCTATTGAACTGAAAACTCTGTAAGTGGAGCCCAGAAAACTGCAACTTAACAGCCCTGCAGGTGATTCTCAGGTATGCTGAAGTTTGGGAACCACTGCCCTATGTCAGCAAAAGTTGAAATTACAGGGGTTAATATTCTCCTGAAAAAAGGAAGAGGGCATAACATGGACAGTTACAATATTGTTCCCATAAAAAACTATAACCTGCTTTATGATAATCTTTTTTATGATGTATCTTTTAGAATGTACATGGGGAAAATAAAGGCCTGGTCATGGACTATTCTCACCACTGTGGTGGTAACTTCCCAAATCTACTTTTCCACTGAGTGGAAGTACTAGAACAGTCCTCTGGGTAAAGATGGAAGGGACGAAAAGGGGGCTGGGCATCAAAACATTGCTTTGCATTTCACCTACCTGATACTGCTGGGGTTTATTACGCTCAGAGCACTGTAATAAGCGCTGGAACACTGCCAGCCCATGCCTGGGTAACAGTGCCCTGGAGCCGATCCATTTCTTTCCCTTTGATCAAGAACTCAGTGGAGCTATACCCGAGATATTACACCCAAGAATCTGCACAGCCACACACTCAGACACACATTGTCCCTGACCATGGCTCCTCCCAGTACATTCATTCATTTCTTCACCCAATACTTAATGAGTGACTTTTATGTGCAAGGCTGCAAGGCCAACGGAGAAACCTTTTTGTGTGTGTGTGCTTGAAGAAGTGATTGAGTGGGGCACTGGCCAAGAAAGTCATGGTTCTTCCCTCCATCTGAGACTCTCGATGATGCATTGAGTTTACTTCTCCTCTCACTTTAATCACAGAAAAGCCAGGCTAAGTCTGTCTCTCGAGTGCATCACATTGTGATTTCCTAGTATCACCGTTCTCTTTGCAAAGGGAGGAAAAATTAGGGATTGAGAAAGCCAAGGAAAAAAATGCATCCACAGCCGAATACAATATTTCCATCCCTACAAAGCTACCTGCCTAGGCTGTGTGCTAACTCCTTTCCTGTAAGGGAAGTGATCCATCCATCTATCCTGGTGGGACTTGGTAGCTCTGGCTACAAAACTTTCAAGGCCAAGACCACTTTCTGACCAATTAAATCAGAACCTCTTGGAGTGAGAACTAGGCACTGATATTTTAAAAATTTTCCGGGAGATGCCACTGCACAGGCAGCACTGGGGACCATGGTTCCAGGGAGGGTCTAGGGCAGTGGTCGGCAAACTCATCAGTCAACAGAGCCAAATATCAACAGTACAACGATTTAAATTTATTTTTGACAGCCAAATTTTTTAAACTTAAACTATATAGGTAGGTACATTGTTATTAACTTAATTAGGGTACTCCTAAGGCTTAGGAAGAGCCACACTCAAGGGGCCAAAGAGCCGCATGTGGCTCGCGAGCCGCGGTATGCCGACCACGGGTCTCGGGTCTTAAGTGCTGGTCCTTTATGGAGCTGAGCTTCATTCCCTGAAAGTCGAAGTCCTAGTTTCCCAGGATTCTCAGCTTCACTTTTTCAATTTCAAGAGTTTGTTTTAGAATTAAAAGTGAGCTATTAAATTTAAGATATTGTGTTATAGTGAATATTCAATGACCTCCTATATTTATATAGTTGTACCAAAATTCAGATGCAGAATATTTAGTCAAAACATTATTTTCTTCTTATTTAATAAAGAATGCTGGTACTAGATCTACTTTTTAGCCTATCTATACTACTTATGAAATAGAAGATAATAAAATTCATACATAGAATATATATATGATGATAGATGTGAACACATTTTGATAACAAAGCAGCACAAAGTATGAATTAAAAAGTAGTAGTGAACACTTTCTTGATTATAAAACTATTGTGAGAATAGCAAAAAGAACAGGATAGGAGAGGGTGTGTGGGTGGGAAGAGATCAACCAATGAACTTGTATGCATATATGGATAATCCATGGACAATAGGGTGGTGAAGGCCTGGGGTGGGGAGAGGGGGCTGGTTGGAAGAGATCAATGGGGGAAAAAGGGGACATAGGTAACACTTTCAACAATAAAGATTAAAAAAATAAACTGTTCATTCAAAATTAAAAAAAAGATATAGGTGACATAAATAAATTGACCTTTTAAACTGGTGATGTCAATTTTTACAGAATGAATTCGGCCATATTAAGATTATGAAGACAGAGGAAATGTTCCATCTCATGGTCTGGCTTAGAGACAGAACCTACATGTGCTGTAACTCTCATTTTCAGGTTGTCACTCACAGCAGCTGGTTCTGTTGCTTCCTATTTACCTTACACCGCCCATTGCCCAGGCAGCCCTGTCTCTAGGGATGCACGCTTACCTCCTGGGGTTGTTGGTACTGGGAGGCCATGAGGAGGAAAGCCCGCTGGGCCTGGAAAGCACTGTGCACCATTTCTGCCTGGGAACAAAGAGGAAGAGGAAGTTTAAATGTTTGAGCTCCTAAACAGTTACCATATGATAAAGCCCATTCCGAGTATATACCCAAGGAAAATAAACAAATATGCTCACACGAAAACTTGTAAATAGAGGTTCATGATGGCATTACTCATAATAGCTCAGATGTGGAAACAGCCAGAATGCCCATCAACTGATGAATGAATAAATGAAATGTGATATACCCATACAATGGAATATTACTGGGCATTAAAAAGGATGGAGTGCTGCCCGGCCGGTCCGGCTCAGTGGTTGAGCATCGCCCTATGAATCAGGAGGTCATGGTTTGATTCCTGGTCAGGGCACATGCCCGGGTTGTGGGCTCGATCCCCAGTGTGGGGCGTGCAGGAGGCAGCTGGTAATGGTTCTTATCATTTCTCTCTCTCTCTCTCTCTCTCTCTCTCTCTCTCTCTCTCTCTCTCCTTTCCTTTCTGAAAATAAAATATACTTAAAAAAAGAAATGAAATACTGATGCATGCTACAACATGAGTTAAACCTTGAAAACATGATGCTGAATGAATAAAGCCAGTCACAAAAAACTGCATTTTTGTGATTCCAATCACATAAAATGACCAGAATAAGCCTATCTGCAGAGTGGTTGCCAGGGGCTGGTGGGTGGGGTGACTGCTAATGAGAATGGGGTTTCTTTTGGGGGTGATGAAAATGTTCTGGGATTAGACAGTGGTAATATCACAACTTGGTGAGTATACTAAAAACCACTGAATTGTGCATGTTAAAAAAGTGAATGTTATAATATGTGAGTTACTGTATCTCAACAAAGCTGTTAAGGAATGTTTGAGCCCCAAAGTGTTTTCAATGGGTGTCTCTCTTGTCCTTTTTCCTAGTGTGCCGAAACTTGTTCCATACCTTCTGGTGGAAGGAAAATTGTCTCTTATGCTACCCTCATACAGATGTGCTCACTGAGAGCTAGCGGCTTCCGCAATCATTCATTAAGATGGTTCCAGAAGAGATTTCAGTGCTACCTGGACTCAACCTCTTAAAAAGGAGTTGAGTGGGTGGGAATATCTTCAAACACAGGGTATCATATTCTTTATACTTACCCTCTACACACTCTTAACTAATTAATTCTTTCATTTTTTAAAATCAAAAAGTTACAGAAGAGTACCAAGAAGAAAATATTCCAAATACTCACATCCCCCATAATTAATCACTTTTGGCATTTTTTTAAATCTTTTTTTTTTTTTTAGTTTTTAAGAAAATTTTTTTGAAAGCTTTTTTTTAAAAAAATATACTTTATTGATTTTTTACAGAGAGGAAGAGAGAGAGATAGAGAGTTAGAAACATCGATGAGAAAGAAACATTGATCAGCTACCTCCTGCACATCACCCACTGGGAATGTGCCCTCAGCCAAGGTATATGCCCTTGACCGGAATCGAACCTGGGACCTTTCAGTCTGCAGGCCGACGCTCTATCCCCTGAGCCAAACCGGTTTTGGCAAGCACAGTTGTTTTTAATAACACAAAGCATAATTATATAAAATAGGTTTTTAAATGTTGAAGGTTTCAAAAATTAAAGTTTTGAAAAAAATGTCTCACAACCTAGAAAAAATCATTATTAACATTAGCTGAATATTTAAGATACATGTACAGAGAGATTTTGAAAAATGAGACCATACTCTAGGTGCTATTTAAAAAGTATGAATTTTAATTATAACTGAATACTAGCAATGAAAGAGAAATGACTGATAAGCTTCAAATAAAAATTTCTGCACTATATAATTATGCCATAAATGATCATTCTAAGGTTAAAAATTATAAAATAATATGAGATTGGAATAATTATGTGTGGCATTTTAAAGTACATGATATAATTTTAGATAGTATTGATTGGGAATCAATTGGCAAAGATAAAAACATAAGTACGTTCTCACTGCTATCTCTAATCCCCTATCGTCCATATTTTTTAGTGGTTGTTTCCATTTAGCCTAATTGATAGCATTCATATTCTACCTACAATATCAATTCCCAGAGTTGTTTAGGACTAGTTCTACATTTAAACACACTTAATGGTTCTCACCAGCTATTTTACCATGACTTCTCCATTTCTGAGTTATTTGGATGTTTTTATTGACTGAACTCTCATTATCAAGTATTTTCTTCAAAACAGTTTCAAGGTTGCTTTAGTTCTTCAGGATTAAATAGATTTCCCTATTGTCATTATACTTAACAACATCTTGGCTGATGTAAGATCCCGGGGTCTCTCTCCACTTTCAGATACCCTGGCACTAAGTGTGGCAATGGAAAGTCTGAAGCCAGCCAATGGCTTTTTCTAGTTTGACATCTGAAGATTTATTTCTTTATCCTTAGAGATTAATAGCTTAAACAAGATGTTTAGGTTTTGAGCATTCTATATTCTATATCCTGGAATAGATTTGGTCCTTCATTTCTGGGAAACTTTCTTATATTTTTCAATATTTCTTCCATTTCATTTGTTAGAATACCTATTCAAGGACTCCTACTATAATCCTCAGATTATATAATATTTTAATGTCCTCAAATCTTTTAGATTCTTTCTCTGCCTTTAATTTCCTTGTATATCATCTGTATTTACTGTGATTATATGTATACTTTTCTCCATTGTTAGTAACCAGACTTTCAACACGGTTTCTTATATACATTAACATTTCTAGTTAGATATGATTTTTACAATAATGTTGTTTTTGTTCCTGATTTGTTAGACTTTCAATTTTCCTTTTCATTTTATTCTTGTTTTCTAACCTTTCTTTATGGTTTAAAAAAAATACATTTAGCCCGGCTGGCATGGCTTAGTGGTTGAGCATCAACCTATGAACCAAGAGGTCACAATTCGATTCCTGGTCGGGGCACATGCCCGGGTTGTGGGCTTGATTCCCAGAGTGGGGCAGGCAGGAGGCAGCAGATCGATGGTTCTCTCTCATCATTGATATTTCTATCTCTCTCTCCCTCTCCCCTCCTCTCTGAAATCAATAAAAATATTTAAAAAATACATATACTCTAAATTCTAAGAATATGGTATATTCTTATTAAACCTTGTGAGGAATCCATTTCTGTTCCTTAAGTTTTGTTTTCTTTGAGGGCTAGTATGTCTGTCTTTCGCATGCTATGTTACTTTCTGACACTATGTAGCTTCCAAGTGCTGATTCCTTGAGCCTTTGGCCACGGTATTGGAGGTCAATTAATTTTCCCTTTCAATAGACAGTTCGAGGGCTAATTGCCTTGTGTTCTCTACTCTATTAGGGCCTGATGGACTAGGGAGTAGTGAAAGGCAGACTTTATTTGTCCAGTCTTTATTTGAGAATTTGGGGGCTCATTCTTCTGGGAATATGTTACATGTCCCAAATCAGGATTCACTTCACCTACATGAAACATAGGCCCTTTGATGAAGATTTGGGATCATTTCTCCAATTTCAAACCCAGACAGGAAGCCGTTACATATGCGTAGGGAAGCAGCCCTGTGGCTTCCATTTCTTGTTTCATATTTCATCTCCTGACTTTCTTTTTTAAGGCTTGTTTTTAAGGAGTGGGAAATAGATGCAGAGTTAGGAACCAAAGGCTGCTCGGCCACCAGTTACTGAAATGTGTTGCTTTAGATTATGGCTTTTTTTGTTTGGTTACTATCAGTGCATTTTTAAAAAAATCTTTTCCTCCCTCATTTGTGGGAGAGAAAAATTCTGATTTAGTTGTATGTGGTCATAAATTTATATTCTTTTATCCTTGTTGATTTCACCATTAATCTCATCCTGGTTAGCTTCACATCCGTTTTGGGCCAGTTTCTATTTCTCTGCCTTCTCAGATAATGGCTTACTTCTCTGAGAGATAAGTAAGAACTAGCTTGATACATTTCCAAAAAACAACTAGAATAGCATCAACAGGATTAGGTTAATTTCATCCCAGTGTCAATCAATATCAGAAAATTTTCTGGGCTTGACGGGTAAAGGTGTTAGCTAACTGGGAAATGACTAGTTTTCGTCATTCCATTATCACGTTTTGGTATCTGACAAATTTTCCAAAATATTTACTGAAATTTTGTTTCTAACTTTTCTCATTTCTCATCCAGAAATTTTTTTCTACTGAGAAATGGTTGAAATCAAACCAAAATTAGTAAGCCGTTTATTTTAAAATCACAAATTCAATCATCAATAGTATAACAGATCAAGTCTAATAATGTTTAAATGAGGGCATAGTTTCCATTTTGGGCTACATCATCTCATCTTATCTTTGCCCTAGTATCTGATTGCTGGGATTATATTTGGTGGAATAGAGGAGTTTTGAATTTTCCTGGAGGCCATTATGACCTATAAATAAATGTGAAGCTCTGAGCTGCATGAATGTTTACCCATGAATCAAAACGTGTGTTTTCAGTGGTTCAAAAGGACTGTTGTTGTCTCTAACAACCACAATTCCCAAAAGAAAGCTATTAAGTACAACTTTCCATAGCTTGGACATAAATAAAAGAACTGCACTTCTCCCAGCAACAATAATATGGAGGTATTGTCCTCCTCTATGAAAAGCCTTGCAGAGCCGACTGAATTACAGTTGCTATGGGAACAGCAATTTGGGACCACCTGACTTCTGTAGTTGAAATTGCAGCTCAGAAGTAACATTAACAATATTTTTGTAGTTATCCCAAGATGAACACTATCATTAGCCTTTTTTACTTTCCCTAGAAGCAACATTTAGCATGTTGCTAATAGAGTAATTTTCTGGTGGCTTAGATTAGTGAAGATGGCCAATTTCATTAATTAGTCTCTTCCCCCAATGGCCTCTCACTCAACAATAGAGGTGGAGGTTGGAGCAAAATCTGGCTGAATATCTAGACATCTGCTTCACCTTTCCCTCTCAATTTGCTTATGTAGACAGATCTTTCTGAAGATTCAGCTGTGTGCTTCTTCCTGCTCCCGGGAACTCTGGGCATAATCAGAAAACTCTAAACCATATTCATTTTTACCCTCATCGGTCCAAGTTT